TTTATAAATAATATACATGTATGGGGTTGCTAAAAATTTTTTTTGCTGTCAAAGTTGGGAGACTAGTCCTGTAGACATTGTTCTCCCCTGTAACCAGAATTATGTATTTTAGAATGCAAAACTGGTCATGTTAATCTTTGTCTGTATATGTATACAGTTGTCCCTCAATATCCACAGGGGATTGGTTCCAGGACCCCCTCAGATACCAAAATCTAAGGATGCTTAAGTCCCTAATATCAAATGGCATTAGTATTTGCTTATAACCGCTGCACATCTTCCTGTGTACTATTTCTCCCAATTACAGTTTATCTTTAACATTATTTTATATTGATTTCTGGTGTATAGTACAATGGTCAGATGATTGCACATCTCACAGAGTGTCCCATTCCCCACCCCAGCTTACACCTCCAGCACCTGCCCGGGCCCACACCCAGTCCATGCAAGTACAGTCCATGGTAACGCTATGAACTGAATTCCCCACGGTGTGGCCCACATCTCCGTGACTAGTTCGAAACTACTGATTTGTGCTTCTTAACCCCTTCACCTCTTTTACCCAATTCTCCAACCCCTCTCCCTTCTGGCGTCAAGCAGTTGGTTCTGTGTGTCTACAAGTTTATTTGAATTTTGTTTGTTCATTTATTTTGTTGTTTAGATTCCATGTATAAGTGGAATCACATGGTATTTGTTTTTCTCTTATTTCACTGAGCGTAATACCCTCTAGGTCAATCCATGCTGTCTCGAATGGTAAGATTTCATTTTTATGGCCAAGTAATATTCCTTTGTGTGTGTGTATAGATGTGTGTGTGTATATATATATATATATATATATATATATGTGTGTGTGTGTGTGTGTGTATGTATATATATATATATATATACACACATATATATATACCAGAATTTTTTTGACCACTCATCTACTGATGGGCACTTGGGTTGCTTCTATATCTAGGCTACTATAAATAACACTGCAATTAACATAGAGGTGCATATGTTCTTTCAAATTAGGGTTGTTGTTTTTTTTTTGTTTCTTCAGATAAATACCTAGAAGTGGAATCGCTGGGTCATCGTAAAGTGGTTCCATTTTTAATATTTTGAGGAACATCTATACTGTTTTCCACAGTGCCTGCAGCAGCCTACATTCCCACCAACAGTGCATGAGTGTTTCCTTTTCTCTGTATTCTCACCAACACTCGTCATTTGTGGATTTATTGATGATAGCCATTCTGACAGGTGTGAGGTGAACTCTCATTGTGGTTTTAATTTTCATTTCCAATAGTTAGCAACATTGAGTATTTTTTTCATATGTCTGTTGGCCATCTGTATGCCTCTTTAGAGAGGTGTCTGTTCAGTCCTTTGTCTATTTTTTAATTGTTTTTTTTATGTTCAGTAGTATGAGTTTTTAATAAATTTTGGATATTAACCCCTTATTGGATGTATCATTGATGAATATTTTCTTCCATTCAGAAAGTCATTTTTTCATTCTGTTGATGGTCTCCCTTGCTATGTAAAAACTTTGGTTTGATATAGTCCTATTTATCTATTTTATTTCCTTTGCCAAGGATATATAACAGAAAAAAATATTGCTAAGGCAAATGTCAGAGATTTTACTGCCTATGTTTTCTTCTAGGAGCTTTATGGTTTCAAGTCTTACATTTAAGTCTTTAATTCATTTTGAAGTTTATTTTTGTAGATGGTGCAAGGTAGTCTAGTTTCACATTTTTGCATGTATCTGCCCAGTTTTCCAGCAACAATTATCAAATACACTGTCTTTACTCCAGTTTTCCTGTGTACTTTAAATCATCTCTAGGTTACAGTCACACCTCAAATATACTGTGGGTTTGGTTCCAGACCGCCACAGTAAAGCAAGTATCGTAATAAAGCAAGTCACACGAATTTATTTGTTTCTCAGTGCATTTTGTAGAAGCTTTGTTTACACTGTGCTGTAGTCTATCAAGTGTGCAATAACAGTATGTCTAAAAAAGCAATGTACATACTTTAATTTATTATAAATACTTGATTGCTAAAAAAAAAATGCTCACCATCATCTGAGCCTTTAGTGAGTTGTAGTCTTCACTGGTGGAGGGTCTTACCTTCTTTTTGTGAAAAATGCAATGTCTGTGAAGGGCAATAAAGTGAAGTACAATAAAACGAGCTATGCCTGGATAGGAATGTTCACAGCAGCATTATTCATAATAGCCAATACATGAAATCATAACACATCTTTCTTAGCTGAAGCTGTCATAACAAAAAATCATTGACTAGCTGGCTTGAACAACAGACATTTATTTTGTTACAGGTGCTGGTCTAGTCAGTTCCTGTTGAGAGCCCTCTTCTTAGCCTGCAGATGTTGTAGGGCCCATTTTTGTTGCTTGCAGGTGCAGAGAGAGTGACGTCCTTTCTCTTCCTCTTACAAGGACACTAATCCCATTTTGAGGTCCCATCCTTATGACCTCATCTAAACCTAATTATCTCCCAAAGGCCCCACCCCCTAACACTATCATGTTAGGGGTTAGAGGCTTCAACATATGAATTAGAGGGGACACAAACATGCAATTTATAACAATGTCCATAAGCTAGTGATGGATAAATGAATGTAGTATGTCCATACAATGGAATATTATTCATCCATAAAAGGAATGAGTTATTGATACATGGTATAACACGAATGAACCTTGAAAATGTTATTCTAAGTGAAAGAAAGACAGAAAAGGCTACCTATTGTATGATTCCATTTACATGAAAAGTTCAGAACAGGCAAATCTAGACAGAAAGTGAGTTAATGGTTTTCTAGGGCTGAGGAGGGGATAGATATCAGGAGAAATAGAGAGTGACTACTAATAGGTATTAGCTTTCTCTTTGGGGTGATGAAAAATGTTCTAAAATTAGGTAGGATGGTTGCATAACTTTATGAGAGTACTAGAAATCAAATTGTGCACTTCCAGTAAATTAATTTTGTAGTATATACCAGTAAATTGTATCTCCATCAAGCTGGTAAACTTTGCAAATATTGGTGGTTTGCTTTAAAGTATCAAAATTTAAAATATTGTGTGGAAGAAAGTGATGCTATTCTGTTACATTACTTTGAATTTTAAATGGGTTGTTGAAAAGAAATAAATTTTACAGAGCTCTAGAAAAATCAGACTTTTACACTATATGTAAGCAGTACCAAGATAACATTTGAAAAGGTTTGGGTCCTCCAGTGAGGTGTGATTAAGTGGTCAGTCTCCCTTTCAGGATGAGAACTCATCCCACTGTACTTTTATTTTTTTACTTCATAGTATCTTGTGTGACTTTAAATAATTCATGGTGTTTATTTTTTACCCTTTCATTAACTTACCTACCTTTGCACCTTCTAATTTCTCCTTTCGCAAAAAGACACCAACCATCCTGCTTCCCCGTTTCTTTAATAAAACAAGTACAATAACATTTTACTTCTCTTGTCTCATTTTGAGCAGTAAAAAGAATCTAATCATTTGTGTGGTGATTTTCTTTTTGATAAAAGCAAGAATAACAAAGAGTTTGAAATTTTTCTCAAGTAGCTTTGTACAAATTATTTTGGTGATGCCCACATTTACTACATTTGTTGGGCTAACCTCTATGCATCTTTAAGGCTAAGTATCCTGGTATCCGCATGACTCTAACTTTCTTCATAAGTGCCCTTCTTCTATGCTCCCATGGTACTCTCTGCATATCTCCATATCATACCTCCAGGTACTGGCCTCTTCCAGTTATCAGCCTGTGCCCTCCATTAGACTATCTGCTTCACTAAGGCCAAGAGCTGGGCCTTATCTTTGTACCTCAGCATCTGTAACTGACTTTGGCAAATAGGTTCTTAATAAATGCTTGTTGACAGAAGCTAAGGAATCACACTAGAAGCTCAGTTACCACATGTGATAGGGGTTGATATTTGGTCAGTTGATTTTTAAAAAGTCAAAGCATATAATTATTGAAAACATATATATACACCCACCTTCAAGGTTTATTTTAATTAAAATGTAGTTGTACCATCTTTGACAATTATATGGTATGGGGCATGGCCTTTGAATATAGGATTCTAATTATAGTTCTGCTTAGTCTTTTAAAAAACATTTTTAAACCCTAAAATGAAAGCAGTTTATTTAAAATAGAGGCACTTGGAAAGAACTTTGAGACATGAATGTAGAATCATAGATTTTTACTATTTTTCCCAATCTGTAACATATATCTTACCCACACGTAATTTCAACTGCAATTTTTACTAGCAACTTACTTTTATTAAATGCATTTTAAGCATTTAAAATAGTTTTTGTAGAAATGGTAGCTCTCTTTTTGCAGTCATAGTTCTGATAATTAAATACAATGGCATTAAACAGGTTTGGGAATAACACATAGCCCACTGACTCTTAGTAAGCATACACTTCAGCTGTTTGGCTCAGATGTGCAAAGCAGTGAAGAATAGCTAACCATCCATGGCATTAAAGCTTACCCCAAGCATCAGGTAATATATTTTAAAGAAAGAATGGAGAATATTGATTAAACTAGTAAATCAGGTATTAGAGGGAATTTAAGAGAACTTACACTGTATTTCTTTTTTTCTCTACCAAAATGTCATTAATTATAGAGCTTCTACACGGTCTACTATATCCTGCCGCAGATTTCATAAACTTTGTACTCCCTAAAATTCAGTGCTTTGAGCCCTGGCTGGGGTGGCTCAGTGGGTTGGGCATCCCCCCACAAACCGAAAGGTTGCAGGTTCAATTCCTGGTCAGGGCACATGCCTGGGTTATGGGCCAGGTCCCTGGTTGGGGGCGTACAAGAGGCAACCAACCAACCAATCCATGTTTCTCTCATATGCAGATGTTTCCCTTTTTCTCTCTCCCTTTTCCTATCTCTAAAAATAAATAAAATTAAAAGAAAACAGCTCAGTGCTTTGAAATGTCTTATTGTCTTTTGAAGTCACTCTGTCCACCTCCAAAGAATTTAATGCTAATTGTTGTGTTTGTTTGTTTTAATTTCAGTGGTAGGCATGGGATCCTGGTGCTTCCACATGACTCTGAAATATGAAATGCAGGTCAGTAATGACAAAATTGACTAAATGCTTATTTCTCCTAATCCAGAGACACTTAAAATTTGAGAAAAGATCATGTTGCCAGAGGATGATTGAGACAAGAGACTGGAAAAAACTGAAATCTCTGGAGTTTTTACTTCAGGCCAAAGGATCCGGATTGACTAAATGAAGTAAAGAGGCAAGCAAAAAGTGGTCCATAAGTGAGGGTATAACTTTTTGATCCCTCTGTGTAGGTATGTGCAATTTTAGAGCAGATCAAAAAAGAGAGTCCGATAGAGACATCTTAAAAAGATATATCAGTTCATCAAAATAATATATTTTTATTCTTAGATGCCTGCATTCCCTCATGTTTCACTCTTACGGAGTCCACTTGAATGGTCTGGTTCTTCTAGCTAGCAGACTTCTAGAGCTATGCAAGCAGTTTGATTTGTTGCCCTTTTTCTAAGGAGGCTATATATCTAGTCCTCAGTCTTTGACCTCTCTTTTCCCCATCACCAACCCAGAAACTTCCAGAACAGCACTGTCTAGTAGAAATATAACATGCGCTACATATGTAATTAAAAATTTTCAAGTTGCCACACCAATAAAAAACACACTAAAGAATAAGTGAAATTAATTTTGATAATGTATTTTATCTACTCCAGCATACCCAAAGGATTACTTCTATCTGTAGTTAATATAAAAATGTATTAATGAAATGCTTCATGCCCTAAAATCAGATCTATATTTCATAGTTTCAGTAGATCTTAGATTAGGTTTATTTCAAGTGCTCAGTAGCCACGTAAGGTTAGTATTAGACAGTGTTAATCCTGGAAGGGTCTGTATATACAGCAGTCTATGAATTATTAATTGTGGCTATATTAAATGTATAAGAATTAATTGTTAGATTCATTTTAATATTCGACACATGTTTATAAGAAAGTGTCATGTCTGTTATACATGCCACGCTGGACTTGGAGAATACGCAAATGATGAGACACTGGGCTGACCTAATCAAGCACAGAAAAATCTTATATTTTCTGTCTGGGAAAACATAATAAAATACTAAAATTATTTTTAAAGAAGTACAAAGAATCTATGGCAACATGAAGGAGCTTGGAAAGAATCTATAAAAGTTGAAGGCATTCAAATAGAATCTAATTCTAGGGCATTTTCACCACCCCAAAGAGAAACCCACTAGTAGTCACTCTCTACTAGCCCTTCCACCCAGCCCCTCACAACCGCTAGTCTACTCTCTGTCTCTGTGGACTTGCCTGCTCTGAACATTTCTTAGCAATGCATCATACAAAATATGACCTTTTGTGTCTGTCTTCTTTTATATAGGCCAACTGATATTCCATTATCTAGATATACCACATTTTGTTTATCCATTTGTCAATTAATGGGCATTTGGGTTATTTCCATTTTTTGGCTTTCATGCATAATGTTGCTGTGAACATTCATATACAAGGTTTTGTAGTATGGTTCAATTCTCCTGGGTGTGGGATACTTAGCAGTGGAATTACTAGGTCACATAGTAACACTATGTTTAATCTTTTGAGGAGCTGCTGGACTGTTTTTCAAAGTGGCGGTACCACCAGCCACTTTGATCATTACATTACAGCCACTTTTACATTCCCACCAGCAATTTCTTCATATCCTTGGCAATACTTGTTATTGTCTGTCCTTTTGATTATATTGTTCTCATGGGTGTGAAGGCGTATCTCACTGTGGCTTTGGTTTGCATTTCCTTAATGACTAAAAATGTTGAGCATCTTTTCATGTGCTTAAGAGAAATATCTATTCAGATGGCCCTTTGCTCATTTTTATTTTAAATTTTTTAAAATATTTTATTTACTTTTAGACAGAGGGGAAGGGTGGGAGAAAGAGAGGGAGAGAAATATCAATGTGTGGTTGTCTCTTGAGTGCCCCCTACTGGGGACCTGTCCTACAACCCAGACATGCACCCTGACTGGGAATCGAACCAGTGACCCCCTGATTTGAAGGCCAGCACTTAATCCACTGAGCCATATCAGCCAAGGTCCTTTGCTCATTTTAAAAAATTGGTTAATTGCTTTTTTTCATTGAGTTGTAAGAGTTCTTTGTTCTGGATACTAGACCCTTATCAAATACATAGTTTGCAAATTCTATGGGGTTTTTTTCTTTTTCTTACTAGCATCCTTTGAAGCAAAAAAGTTTCCCGTTTTGCTGAAGTCCATATTATCTATTTATTTATCTGTCCCATATATATATGAAGAAACAACCAGATGAATGTGCTGAGACAAGATGTCAGGCAAGACTAGGCATCTGAGCGAGCAAAGGGAAAGTCTCGCCTACTCCGTGCTGATCAGATCATGGCAAGAATATTGCATTCAGTTCTGAGAACTAACCTAGCATGTGTTCAGATGAAAGACACCGGAATGGTGAAAGCACTAAAAACCTAGTCCTGATGCCTGAGGGGAAGGGACTGGGAACACATTCATGTGCTGCTTAACATTGGAGTATGTTCTGAGAAATGCGTTAGACAATTTCATTTTTGTGCAAACATCGTAGTGCACTTACACAAACCTAGATGGTATAGCCTACCACTGTAATTGTGTGTGTGTGTGCTATACTTTTAAACATCTGGTAATGCAGTAGTTTTGTTCATACCAGCATCACCACAGGCGTATGAGTAATGTGTGCTCCAAGACTTAACTTTGGCTACAACATCACTAGGTGATAGGAATTTTTAATCTTTCATTATAATCTTATGGGACCACTGTCATATATAATGAATGGAATGCCATGGAATGCCATGATGGCGGGAAATGTCACTGTGTGGTCAGTACATGACTATATTTAGCTGGAAGAACAGAAGACATGCTCAGGGACCCACACTGAGCTCTAATCACCAGCCTCTCTATTCTGTGCATTTGTTTATGCCTGGCCCTCTTGCATTCCCTCTCTCCCGTGGACAATTCCTGTTTGTTCTTCAAAGTCTCAGGCAAGGTGGCAGCCCCTCTAGGAAGCCTTCCATGGCCCCAGGGCAGGATATGTTCTCTTCATATGTTCTTCCATAACACTCTGTGCATTTCTATTACTGCTCTTATCAGTGTTTTTATAAATATACTGTGTATGTGTCTGACTTCTCTATCAAAATGTGAGTTACATAAGAGCAGGGACTCTCTCTGGTTGACCTTGGTGTATCCCTTGTTTATATCACAGGGTTGCCATATAGCACTGCATAAATGTTTTATGAATCAGTGTTTAAGGGTTGACTTGTTGAAGAGTATTAGGTTTATTCCATGTGGTCCTAGGGGCATTAAAGATGAAGAGACATCTTGGTCAACATAGGGAAGAACTGTCTGAGCTAGTAGATGGCAAAGACTGCTTTGGGAGATCTTGAGTCCTCTGTCCTTGGAGGTGCCCAAGCACAGGCTGAACAAACACTTTAATTAGTTCAAAATTTTGTATTTGGTACCTGGGCAACAGGTATGCACAGGTGTAAAGATGATGTTTTTTCCTCAGGGAGTCATTTGTCTAGGAGCGAAAATAGAATGCAGTGATAAAGGGCCATACAAAGTCCTGTGGAAATAGAAAAAGCAATTCATTATTTAGGGTAGGAAGATCTGAGAATGGGTTTCACACAGATGACTCAGACACATGTTTTGAGTTGCATTGTCAGAGATGAGTAGGAATTTGCCAGGCCAACTGGAGCGCACAGAGATGTGAGAGCGCAGCTGGTATCTCAGGGCACTGCAAGTAGTACATTGTGGTTGTAGCCATGGCCTTGGGAGTATGTGGCAATGATGGCAGTAGTGCTGCCAGTAGTAATATGTATTAAGTTATCAAGTACCTGCTCTGGGACAGGCATTGAACTACATGAAGATGTGGTTTGGGAAACTACCAGAGGACAGATCTAAGCCTCTTGGACTTTATCCTCTATGAGCCATTAATGGATTTTGAGCAAAGGTGGGACACACTTTGATTGGCATATAAGCTTAATTGTTGCCAAGGTTGTTAGCAAGATAGCACACATTTGGATGGACAAGATGGCCTTTGATCCTGAGATCTTTGATTCTGTGCTCTATCATCACTATGACACTACTTTATCATGGGCAAATTATACAGATGCCTTATTTTCTCCCCCTTTTGGACTACAAAGTTATGGTTTTATGTGCTTGTTTAACTGGGCAGAAATGACATGCCCCATTTTCCCAGTGACTGAGGAGGAGGGAAGAATCATCAGTATCAAAGGACTTCTCCATCTCTTTAATGGCTCCCTGTGTTGCCTCCTTTCAGAATAAATTGGACTTGGCTGTATTAGACCATCATTTGTTATACGTAGTCACTGAAGTAAAGTAAGAAATGACAGTGCTGCCACCTACCTGGCTCTGGTGATCAGTGAACCATTCTGCCAGCCTGAATTTAGCTTGTTGTAGCTTAGAGATATTGGAGGCCCAGCTCTGCCTAAAGTGAACTCAAGCAAAATATTGACAGTTCTGTCTTGAGAATGATTTAGAGCATGAATGGTATTTTCTTCAGATTAATTATGTCTAGGTGGCTGCTTAGGTTCCAGTTCTGATTCTACCCCTTTGCTGGCTGTTTGAGTGTAGATATACTACTTAACCTTGATGAACCTTTATTTTCTCATTTCTCTAGTGGGTCTAATAATACCTGTTAAGAGTATTATGAGGATCAGTTGATTGGCATGTGTGAAAGTACAATACCAGGATAGGATCTGGTAAATAAATGTTTAATAAATAATAGTTTCTTTCAGTTTTCTTCAACCAGTCTGAACACCACCACTACTCATTCATTATTAGTGATTCACTCCTCTGAGTACTATTAAATTATGTGTGCTCTTGTCAAAGGTAACATTTTAAGCACGACTAACTCTATCCTCAGTATTCATGTGTTACGTGCTTGTGGCAACCAGCCAGTAGCAATGCATTTGGACATGGGGTTGAAGAAAACATTAGAGGTGGGGTAAAGTGAACAATGGCCTTCAAATAAGGGGTAAAGGTACCAAAGGACAATTTAAAATCATCGAGCTTTAATATTAGAGAAGGTTTTTAAAATTTAGTCCAATCTACAAATTTCGTAAATGAAAAAACAGCCTAAGAACAGGGAAGTGACTTGACTCAAGTTACACAGGAAGTTAAAGACAAGATCAGCCCTGGCTGGTGTAGTTCAGTGGATTGAGCATAGGCCTGTGAAGCAGGGGGATCCGCCTGGGTTGCGGGCCAGGTCCTCAGTGAGGGACACATGAGAGGCAGCCACACACTGATGTTTCTGTTCCACTCTTTCTCCTTCCCTTCCCCTCTCTCTCAAAATAAATAAATAAAATATTTTTTAAAATACAAGATTAGGGTCCAACTTTCATTTTGTATTCTTTTTTCCTTTATCTGCCTTAGGACAGTGTCTTGTACAGAGTGTGGTAGGAGCATAAAGATCTTAAGTTTTTCAAGTCTTCTCCCAGACCTTTTTCATTTATTTACTCATTCAACTCATTCTTTTTTGCTTTTAATAATCAAAATATACAGTTATTGATAATCTTGTGGAGGGTAAAATTAAAGGCAGTTTCTTAATTTTTTCTTTGTGTTTTTTTGCCTTTCCCAAGTATTCTGTAATGAACATATAATATGTTTGATATTAGAAAAAATAAATGCTAGTAAAAATGAATGCATTTAGCTGTTTCTCATAACTAAAATAGTTTACTTTTCCTAGAAAATAAAACCAAAGAAAAATGCTTGCTCACCTATAACTTTATTTATAATACAAAAACAAAAATAGCATAAATGTTAGGTAATAATGGAAGCTAATTCAGACTTTATAAACAACAGATGTTCTAGTTATAAATACTACCTTTCTTTTTCCTTTGTTCCCTATCTTAGTGAATGAAACCATCTTACACTGAAAGCCCAAGCCAAATACCTATGATTCATCTTCAATTTCTCCTACTTTCTCACCTCTACAACTACTAAAACCTCTTGATTCAACTTTCATAATAACTCTTGGATACATCCGCCTCCGGCTCTCTGTATTGCCACTACCCTAATCCATCATCTCCAACCCAGATTCCCATCACTGGTGTTCCCATTTTCCCTTAACCATTTGTTACACTGGAACAGAAGTAAATCTTCCTACAAACAAAACTCATTGTTTTTATTCTTTGAGCAATATTTGCTAGGCTTTGCCTAAGTGCTGGGGGTGAGATACGGAAAATATAGTCTCTCCTCTCCCATCATGTCACTTTTTATAGTTCAAGGTTATACATTTGAACCTCAGGCTTGGGGATCTAGCCCCTGCCTGCCTCTACAGATTCATCTTTAGATCCATACCCTTTCCTACACCGGAACTCTGTGCTCTCTTACCAATCGTAATTTGCTATTTATGGTTTTAAAATAAGACTATTCTACTTGTATTGCCCAGATTTTAAAATCTGTGCTCTTTTTGCCCTGACTAGTGTGGCTCAGTGGGTTGAACGTCATCCTGCAAAGCAGAAGGTCGCCAGTTTGATTCCCAGTCAGGGCACATGCCTAGGTTACAGGTTCAGTCCCCAGTTGGGATGTGTACAGGAGGCAACTGCTCCATATTGGTTTCTCATATAGAGTTTCTCTCCCTCCCTCCCCTCTATCTAAAATAAATAAATAACAATTTAAAATAAATAAAATAAAATCTGTGCTTTTTGAACATATTGAACCTATCCTCAGTTCAATTCAGTTCTTTAAACAAATAAGCGAGCATTTAAAATCTGGAGTCCAGACATTTCCACTACAGATTTGTATCTCGAGTTGCCTGATTGACATCACCTGGCTGCCTCACAGGGGCCTCAAACTCAGCATATTGAAAATTGTTCTTGTAATTTTCTGTTTTCACAGTCTGAGTAAACTGGACTGCCATCATCTGAAGTGTTTAGGCAAAACACCAGGCGGTCACCGTAGGCATCCCTCACCTTTGTGTCAAATCAACCACAACGCCCTGTTTATTTTCCTCCCTAAGTATTTCTCAAGCCTGTTCACTTATGTCTGTTCCAGTTCTGCGACCTGCATTCACGTAGCAACTCCCCTTAGCCTGGACTGCTGTAGCCGCGCGGCTCTTCCCCCGCATCTGTGCTTTCTCCCTTCAGGGCGTTCCCCACACATACGATTGGGTTTAGGGTTGGCTTAAGGGTTAGCAGAACTTATCTATAACACTTAGCTTAGTGTCTCAGTCTCGCTTAATACATAATAGCTATAATTATTATTGCTAATAATATTATTTTTCGGAGACATAGGTTACTTAGATTAATTAAGTCACTTCCCTGACCATTAATACCCTTTCCTATGTATGTTAGTGGACATTTAACTGATTTTAAGTGCTACAGGAAAGGGCAGAAATGCAAAAGAAATCTGACGGGACCCACAGACTTCTACGTGGTGGACATCATTCTTTCCTGGAAGTATGGTTTTATAGTTTGTGATACCAAATGATCTGAGCTGCCCTGTGAGTCCTGCATTATACTTGGGTATGTACATTAGGACAGGTAGATGGGTGGATGAGCTTGCTTATTCAAAAAATAAATAAACGGTGTAAATTAGATAATAATAAATATTTAAAAGAATTAGTAAAACATAATAGATAATGAGGTGACCATTTTAATCATGTTTTTTTTAATTTGTATAATTACAGCTCTACAATACTTATGTCTTGTTATTTGCCTTTGTTTCTTATAGCTGTTGGATGAACTCCCAATGATTTACAGCTGTTGTGTATTTGTGTACTGCATGTAAGTATTTAGGTTTAAAATTATGATGTTTGATATATTTTAAAATTCATATTGGCCTCATAGCAAATTAAGTTGTATAACTAACTCAGTTAATATCACCGAGAGATTGTGATGGTGTAGATTATGATACTTGTGATCTTCATATACAGAGTATAGTCTCTGGGAAGTTATAATGTTTATTAACTTTTATTCTCAATACCCTACAGCCAATTTAGATAGACTCTTACTTAAGTTTGACTTAAGCTGTATCATTTGCCCTTTCTTGAGTTATGAATGTATACATGTTTAAAAAGTATTTTATATATTATACCATAAAAATAATATTCATCTACTTTGTACGTGTAATTGTTCTAGCAATACCTAGTCATCTCTAATTCTCATAGTTGTGTAACATAAATGCATATTATTCCCATATTATAGGTGACAAAGTGAAGCCCAGAAAGATTTAATAACTTAGGTCTAAGGATATATTGATGAAAGAAACATCCAAGCCCATAAAGAGGTTTTTTTTAAGAGTTTATTTGAGCCCAAACTGATGACAGTTGCTGGAAAGCAAGATCTTGAATGCTCCGAGAATGAGTTTTGCAGTTTCTTTTATCCATTTGTAATTAAAGAGGGAACTAGGAAAGATTACATGAACATTGGAGAAAGCAAGTCAGGGATTGGATAGTGTACAAGCTTATGTGCTTTCATACGTGTGATTAAGCTTATTTTGAAGGTGTGTTAACCTAGATGCACAGAAACAATGGGCAGGGCTTGCTTATGGCAAAGACAACCTGATAACCCTTTTACTAAAAAATTATGTGCCTGGGGCATTGCTATCCACCATGACCTGACCACTTAAGAATTTATGACCAGATCCCCCATGAAGTTACTTTCTGTAGAACCTCTTTCTCATCCACAGATATAAGCAGAGCTTAAGTCACCTTAAGCAGGTGACTGACTTAAGGTCATTTAGTTAGGAAGTGTCAGATTTGGAAATTGAGCTGTAAGTTTAATAGCTTTACCTTCTAAGTATGTGTTCTGTTCCCTAGTACTAATACTTAAGACATTTCTGAGCCCCTCATGTGATAGCAGTCTGATTATTTTCTATATGATCATCATTGCTAGCTCAAGAATGTCCTCCAAAGATATGTAAATTCAGAATAGTTTAAAGAATATATTTTTTAAAAAGAGTTCTTCTGAAATGTTTCTCAGTAAAGGGTCAGTAATTATTTTGGCCTTTCTGTGCCTATGATCTCTGTCGCCGCCCTTCAACTTTGCTGCCTAACGTGGGAGATGTGCAGACAAATAGGTGTGGCTGTTCCAATGAAATTCTATTTATGAAAAAACAGGTTTAGGCTGGGAAATTGCCCTTGGGCTGTAGTTTGCTACCCTGATCTAGAAAAAATACATTCAGATGAGCTCTTATTACTAAGTCATCAAGTTCCAGAATTTAAAGATAAAAGAGATCTTGGAAATCATCTGGGCTACCACCTTTCTTTATAGGAAAGGAAATAGGAGTTGGGTCCAATTCCCACAGCCAGTTAATTAGTAAACTGAGAGAACTCTCCTGCTGTTTGCACTGAAACGTAGGTTCAAACATTGGACACTGAACTGATGGCCATGTATTTGTTCAGACTTATTTACTGAATATACTATCCCAGGGACTAGATATATGGAAAAAAGAGTTTATCTCTGCACACAAGGAATTCATGGTCTGGTTGGGGAGACAGGTAAGTAAAGGGACAATTATAACAGAATGATATTTTCTCTAATAGTGTGCCTTAGTCCAGCTACCAGACTCCAGATTTTCAGGGGAGAGCCTCCTCTCACTGGCCCTGTATAAGGAAGGTGCTTTCTCCTGGTCCCCGTGGCTCTTGGATGCCGTGGACAGTACAGGTTCTCTAAGGCGAGGGCATGAGTGGAAGAAATGGGCATCAGTCAACTCAGAGGCTCTTGGGCAGGTGGTAAAACAGCATTTTATTTATTTTTCCTAGTTATGTATTCTAAAGCCATTTTCTTCTTTTTCTGTTTTTAAGGTTTGAATGTTTCAAGATCAAGAACTCAGTAAATTACCACCTGCTTTTTACCTTAGTTCTATTCAGTTTAATAGTAACCACAGTAAGTCATATTTCATCTAACAGATTAAGCATGAGAAGGAAGTAGGCATTTATGAAGTTCAGCACATTTTGCTTCCAGTGTTTGCTTCATGCTGTTCAAACTGAAATGTTTCTATACAAAACTCACAAATACTACTTTTTTTCCTGTTTAGGTGTTATTTCTCAACAAAAACTCCAGAGTTTTTTTCAAACTCCGGTTTTTTAAAAACATGGGGAAAAAATCAAAAGGCTAATGTTCAGTAGCAATAGAAAAAATAAACTTTTTCTCATAGATAGATATATTACCTCCTATTTGGTAAAAAAGAGAGATTAGATCTGTTCTGTTGAGCCTAATATGTCTATTTTTTAACATTTTCCTAGTAAGTCGAGATAGCTTCTTTTCCCCCACAAGTGAATTGCATTTTGTATAGAGAGATACTCATTTCAACAAACTTTTATTGCAAACATACCGTATCAGGCGGTAGAAAATACAAAGATCTCTAAGAAGTAGTTGCTTTGCTTAAGGAGTACATTCTAGTAGGGAAGTCAAACATGTAAATAATGAATTGCTTCAAAAGATGGTAAATTACAGTAATAGAGGCAAAAACAAGTGATATAAGGATGAAATAAGCAGTATTCAATGAAGATTGCTTGGGTGGGTCAAGGAACATTCCATAGAGAGGCACTTAAGCTGGGTTTTAACTGATGATTAGAAGTTCATGAGGCTCTCGGGCAAGAGCATGGTGAAACATTTCTAAATACTGACATTGTCTGTAGGCATAGAACCATGTATACATGGACAATGAGGCTATAGAGGAAAATGAGTGGTGCTTTTGTTGAATTGAGAGAGGATCAGAAAAGACTTCGAGAAAGAGGTGCAGTTTGAATTGAATCTTGAAAGATAAGTGTTTCCCAGCAGAGTAGGATTTCTGAACAAAGTGAAGAGCAGCTTGTTTAGAGGTACAGAAACATGAATATAGCACGTTTGGGGGAGCATTGTGCTTTCTGGAGCTTAGAATGAAAAAGAAACAAGAGAAAAGCAGTGAAGCCAAACAGAAAGGCAGGAGTGAGATCATGGAAGGCTTTGAAAGTTAGTCTTTGTCTTGTAAGTGATGGGGGTCATTTCAAGATTATGATTTTCATTCCTCTCTACCATGTCATTTTGAAGATGTACTCCTATAATGCAATAAATACATGCTAAATCTTGAATAGGCATTGAACTTAACCACTCAGGAGCCTAAAATTAGGTTTTGTGTAATTAGGAACACATCTAGGTGAGTTGAGTTAGAGGTTTTGAGAAGCAGAAGCCAAGAGATTTGTTTTAGATGTTTTCACTCACAGAGCACCTATTATGCTAGACACTTTTCATGTATTTACCTTCTTATTTCATAACATTATTATTCCCATTATCTAGATAAGGGAAAATTAGTCTTTAGGTTGTGATGCTATTTACACTTGCTCAAAGCATGAAGCAAGTGAGTGGCAGAGTCTGAAATTGAATTTATGTCTCTAACTCTAAAGCCAGTGTTCTTACTACTATAGAACAGAGTTGTCAGGCATAACCTCTTCAGCCGTCATGAGTATCTGCATTTTTGCCCTTCCCTGATGCTGATGTAGAGGCCAAGAGGCCCAAGTCATCCACGGCAGTTCTGAAGCGTAGTTTACCATGGTAGAGCTAGTACTGGGGGAGACCCACCTATAGGTACTGGCCCTCCTGTGGTGTGCCGCCTAATCTGATTGGTTTTATATGGCTGGAGTCAGGTCTCAGTAACAGGACTAGGAAAGCAGGAGAGGTTTGGGATATGCAGAATTGTTGCAGCAGGGTTTCTTTCCCGCTCCATAATGTGCTTCATTTACATGTGTTTTAATATTTTACAGGTTTACCTTAAGGTAAAGGAGCCTGTATTCCATCAGGTAATTCTTAAAAATTATTATAAATTTGGTTGGTTAACCATACTTGTCTGCCTTTTGTTTTCCTTTTCTGGTTAATAATATGTAGATACAACTTTTGAAAATGAAATGGTAGATAGCCTAAGAAAACTCAGTCTTGAAAACAGAGGTTTCAAACTCAAAGTGCCTACAGGAGCCAGCTATAGGTAACAGCAATCCACCTGGAACCGAGACTGCCCAGGCCCACCTGGCTGTTGGAAGTCAGTAAGGCAGATGCAACGTTGCTTTTATAAGCAGGGGGAAAAAACAGGAAGTCTTATGCATATATGTATAATATATAATGTCTTTTTTGTGACATTCTTTTGTAGGAAAGGTAGACTGAAAAGTCTTTGAATATTTTTCCCCTAATATATATTTTAATAAGTTCTTTGAGGTAGAAGGATATTTAAATTGAGGGAAGCAAACACAGGAAACTTTGCTATAGGAAATAAATGCATCTCATAATGAAACCAGAATGAAATTAAGCAGCAGCCCCTAACTAAAGAGAGAGATCTATTGTTTATTAAGTGCCACCACGTGCATGGCACTGTGCTCATTACTGCACAGACTAATGTCCCCAGCAGTCCTGCGAATTAGGGACTGTCTACATTTTAAGGAAAATGAGCTTAGAAATATTAAGTAATTTGCCCCAGGGTTACAAAGTTATTAAGAGGCAGAGCCAGGAGCATCGTAGCCTAGATTTGTACAATTTCTGTCACCATTTTAACAAACTAGCAAATAAAAATAAGTACACACTTCAAGATCAGAGGCCTTGTAGTTTTAGAATACTTTGTGCATATATAATAAGTAAATGTTTCTATAACTTTATTTTTTAAAACAGATAGACTATATACATTTATTTATTGATTACATTTTTGAGAGAGAAGAAGGGAGGAGAGAGAGATTTGTTGTTCCACTTATTTATGCATTCATTGATTCATTCTTGTTTGTGACCTGACTGGGGGTCGAATCCATATTTTTGGTGTATTAGGTCAACGCTCTACCAATTGAGCTACCCGGCCAGGGCAGAAATCGATTTTTTTAAATAAATTCCAAAACTACATTATTGTGCCTTGCTTTTCTACAGGCCAGCTGAAAGTAGACATGCTAAAGTAGACACTACAGGAGAGGATACTCCCAACTCACTGCCCTGTTTATTATAGTTTGAGGTGATATCATTATTTAGAGAGATCTATTGATACAGTATAAAAAACATCAAGTAAGTTTATTTGTTATAAAAAATAGCTCAGTGCTTATAAATTTTTTATTTGCATTTATAAGAAAGAAAAATCAACTACCAAAAATTTTTTTGGAAATTTGAGGTTAATATTTGTAAGTTTATGACCATCAGTTTTCCACTTTGTGTTTAAACCTACTTGACATTACGTTTATATAATAAAAGTAATAAGCTACTCATATAATTTTCTATGCTGCAATTCCCATGTGTTTTTCCAGTAGTAAATATTTTCTTCTCTGTGTAGAATGGTAATGTTTGCTGATAGGGAAGGAGGCAGCTTATAGCTATGACTTATATCCTAGGCTTAGAGATTAAAAATTAGGATAGAGAAGTCATGAAGTAGAGGAATCTAGTGTGAAGTGGATAAGCAACCTGAAGGTAGAACATGTTCATTCATTCATTGGATGTACACTGTGTACCTTCTTGGTACCAAATTCTGAGCTGGAAGTTGAAATCAAAGTAAGACTTTAAAGTCAGGCTGAATTCCACTCTAGTCTTTTCTCTTACTATCTGTATATTCTGGGTGCTATACTAGGCACAGGAAATATATTAGTAAATGAAATAAAGAGGTCCCAGCTCTTAAGGAGCTTATTATATAACCTAAAATTGATATAATAATCTCCTAAAGTTGTCTGAGGATTAAATGAGATAATGCATGTAAGAAACCCTTAGCACATAGTAAACACCCAATAAACATTAAGTAATACTGATATACAAAGGCAAATAAAATATAGTTGCTGGTCTCAAGGTGCTCACAACATAGTCAGGAAAACAGGCTTGTAAAATAATATTTGTGGTATATATGTCTCATAATAAATGTGTAAAAGCAGTGCTAATGTAGACAAGGGCACTGTCTGTCTGCTTAGATGGCTCAAGAGAGGATTACAAAGTACATATGTTGCATATAGCTAAATTATTACTTATTCTAGTGCTAAAAAAACAAAAGTATTGTTCTGAAAAGAAAATTGCATTTTCTGAGATTTTTCCATTTTTCAAAGTTTGAAGTATGGCTTTTATTCTTTCATGTAACTATTGGTGTTCTTTTATTTTAAAGGTCTTTTAAAACTAAAACAATGCTTACAGGTAGTTCACATGGCTTCTTGTCTCATCCCATGGCTCCCAGCTCAGAGGCAGCACTTGGCCTTCCCTTTGTAACAGTTGCCTTCAATCCCAATGCAGAGTGGGCACCGGGAAAAGTGGCAGGTCCCTCCCTTTTTGGCACATTGGTATTCTGGACACCTGTGGAACATACCTGTAAGAAGGCCAATGCCTGCGGCTGTCTGGGAGAAGAATAGGCAGAGAGGCAGCAGCAGAGCATAGAAAATCCTCATAGTGGTGCTAGGCTGGGCCTGGATGGTGGGAGGAAGAGTGGCTGCTTGGAGACTAAGCTGACAGGCTTCTAACTGTTGATGTTCTTATGTACAGAAACTTAGAAAAGCTATTTTAGCATTCTTAAGTGGAAAATTGATTTGGAGTTTGTGACAAGATTTACAATAACTTTCAAAATCTTGAAAATAATGGAAAAGGAGGGGAAAGCAACATTGTCTAATGTAAAGGAACTCTGTCTCAAGAGTTTGGAATCTTAATTTCTTATCACTTTGATTTCTTGCTACTTTGTTATCCATGAACAAATTTCACTGTGCCTGTACTGCAATTTCCTCATTTATAAAATGTTTAAAAAAAAGAAGTGTTATTTCACAAGGGTAATATAAAAATAATTAATACAAGATAGCAAAAGCACAAAAATAAACAATACAGTGTGGTACTAAAAGTACATATTGAGACGTAGATGACATGCACAGATTTTTGCCTGTGGTAATCCGGGAACGCGTGTGAAAGGAGGTATTTGAGTTGGGCCTAGAGAGGTAAGTAGTGACAAGCTATTAGAAGGAAAGGGTTAATAAACACTTCAAAAGTATCTGCCACAACCAGGATGATTGGCTTGATAATCAGGTTAGCTTCCCAGAGGGAGAAAATACTGATAACAGTTCTACTCACTATATTAAATATAAGGCAGTCCAAACAGCTCCAAAAGAGAGCCAAATGCTATTTATTTAATTTGATAGCCATGCCAAGGGCACAATAGACAAATATGCCAAATTCAATAGAAATATCAATGTATCTTAAGGAAACAAAAAAGCGTATATGAGACTAGATTAAAAGAGCATTTGAGAATTTAAGAAGTCAGTGAACCTTCTTTGAGCAGCTAATTGACAAATCAGTACTTGAATATCTCAGATGCAATCTCATCTAATGTTTCAAAGAGTACTATGGCTTACAACCTTCCTGCCAAAGTAGGTGTCTCCTAAAGATTGTTTCAACAGGGGACAGATCCGTATTTTATAACTCTCCCTTCTAATTTGGCCCTCATGGATTTTAAGGAAGGATGTGCTATGTAAACAGTTTGAAAAGCAGAAACGTAAGCAGATTTATTTAATTTAATTATGTTTCATTTGTGCCACTTTATTACAAATTAGAGATGTAAGGAAGTTAATATGTAAGCACGCTTGAAAAGAAGCAAAAGGAGCTGACATTTTAAAATATCTGTTATGTGCTAAGTATTATATATTCTTTCATATAGTTTATATGGATTGACTTACCTATTATCTTAAAAATATCAACAAATTGCATAAAATTATCATCTTCATTTTGTAGGTGAGATAACTGAGAGTCAGGAGGGCTGAGTAATCTGCCCACGTTTCTCACCTAGTCAGCAGCAGAGCTGGGAGCTTAACTCAGGTCTTTCAAATTTCAAAGCCCATATATCTTCTGTAATGTGATGATGTCCCCGTAGATACTGTGGCATCTAATTTATTATCAGAAAGCTATGTTATTAGAAAGAATGAAAAATGGTACTTAAATTTTAGTGCATATTTATTTTAGATTTTAGTGCAATGATAAATTTATTAGAAAAAATGTAAAGACTGACTGTAAAACTTAAGTATAGCTATGCTTTACTTTAGGACTCAGGGGTGTCAAACTCGTTTTCACTGCAGACCACATCAGCCTCACTGTTGGCTTCAAAGGGCCGAATGTAATTCTATGACTGTATAAATGTAACTACTCCTTAACTAGGGCAAGGAGCACAAAGCTGCCACTGGGTAGAAACAAGGTGTCTGGCCAGATGTGGCCAGTGGGCCTTGCGTTTGCTACCTGTGTTGTAGGTAAACCAGAATTCAGTTATCAACTTTAAAAACTGCTTAAAATCAAATATAAGTGAAATACTTTGGGAATAAAAAGAGATTAAGTAATATCTATAGAAGGATTTCAGGAAGACTTCACACAGCAGATGCCAGTTGAGCACAATTTATTGGACTACAGAATTCTTTTTTGTAGAATATCACTTAACATCACCCAGCACAGTAGTATTCTGGTACTGTTATTTGGGAAATCCTATGCTAAAATTCTATGCTAAATCCGCAGAACATGAGAAGAGAAAGGAGGACTGGAACCTAACTGTGAGGATGTCATGCTAAAGTTTGGATCTTACACTTTTGCCATTGACAAAGGCAAGGCATGATAATATCTATTTCAGATCATTTTGGCACTTTTATGTAGGATGAATTAGAAAGCTGTATACTTGGGGCAGAATTAGGATTTTAAACCAGCTCTAAATTTCTATGAAAACTATGTTTTTTACTAATAGACCACATTGTTTTATGAGACTTGTGCTATTATTTTATAGTTATATTACTAAATGTAGTAATATCTACATTTAGCTTATTAGTATTTAAACTAGCATTTAATT